GAGTATGGACGAGTTTTCTCGGACCAGATGTGGATGGCTCAGTGGGAGAACTTTCACTAATAAACAGCTTGCTACATAAAACGGCTTATTTTGTAATGGATGTCGAGATGTGTAATCAACAGATTGAGGTTGTTAAGCACTGTCTTCCTCAATTTTATAGTCAATATATTTGTTATAAACTTATACAGTGACTATAAATTAGTTTATTGAGCTTCAACAGTGAGTGATTATGTTTTAAAAATACAATCAAGTTGAATAATACTGATACTATTGAACACTACATAGAATGTCATTTATAATGAATTGTAAAACAACTTACAACATCTCACACGAAATCTAACAGTTTGAGAAAACATTAAAATCTTCTTTTTAGTGCACACCACACTACAGATCGACATTTTTCCATTTATCACCAGTTCATATTCATCCACTAAAATTTCAAAAGAGAATTCTTGGCAAAATAAAATTATTATATTTCTCAATATGAAAATATTTCTGGTATGTTTTAGTGAGTGAAGAATATTTTACACCTTGTTTTACACTTTTTTGCATAGGTCATCTAAGAGTGCATGAAAACATCTACATAGATTACAATATTTCTAATGTGATGAATTTGATAACATTTTTCACAGTAATCATAAGTATAGGCTTTATGAAGTACATCGCTTTCAGGCTATGTATTTAAAAGAATGATTCACTCAATTTTGAACAAAGAACATTGAGGACAACTTTGTGCTATTTGGTTATCACACATTGATAACAATCTGACACGTCATAGGTGAAAAGAAATGGATGTTAATTTGAAGTGTGGGATTTGATTTGATGTGGTTTGTGTTGTCCTGTTGTTGAAGTTGAGTATTAATGTGGATTAATCTCTTTCACCACATGTTCATTCTGAGCAGATTGTGGTGTATCTATGTGCCTTTATGCTACAAAACTGTTCATATTCAAGACTCAATTTCGATGCCGGTACATCTAGCCGACATGTCGTATATTGGATGAAACTCCCACGAAATATTCCACCACTGGCCACAATCCACCTATTCTGAACAACAGAAATTGTTTGTTTGTTTGTTCATAAACACTATATGAATAACAATGTGCTTGTTTGTGATCATAGTTATCATATGAGAAGGACTAATTATACAACCTTACTAACAAACTGAGTTAGCCGTTTTAGCATTACAAGCCACAGCAATGGAATCAAGTTATCGTAACAACGAAAGCATCACACTTTATTTGACTAGTCAACTGATATGTGTCAACACTGAAAAGTTTTCGTTAGAATACAATGGAATGCAGTAATCGATGAGTGTGTTCGACGTTCGTTCTGACGAAAGTGTTAAAGTTTCAGTAGTGTGATGATATGAAATGTGTTCGTTTATTATGGGTTGAGGAATTGGTGCGATAGTCAAGACAAACGACAGATTAGCAACCATGTTGCAGTTAGGTTTTGGTAAGGCCGTAATTGTATTCGTTTGAAATGAGGAACAAAATATAAGAACGAGGTGCTATGTGGTTAATTGATAAGCATCTACACAATAGACAAGAGTTTCAGCACACGAATTCTAATGACAATTATCTACACAGAAAAATACAACACACCTTCCACAAATATTGAACTTTGTCGAATTAAGACTAATATGGTTTATGTGATTATCTCATGATAATGGGTTTGATTCATGCTAACAGTTGAATATGTTCCAAACGTTTCTATGATGAATTAGTCATCTCAGTTATTCATATCTATTTAGGAGGTCAAATACTTCTACAATTCTAAAACGTACCTATTGATGCATTATTGATAATTTGTTCCTCCAATGAATTTCATTTTGCTCACATAAACCGTTGACGTACAAATGGATACGTTGCAACAAATAACATGGATTTTCCACTATTGATTTATCTAACACATGTGAGAAGATAATATAGAACATTGTGCTATTTCGATGAGCTGAATTACATGCGTTCATGCGTTTCCGATTTGCGTGAGGAAATCGAGTGTCTGTAATTGGCAGTTCTAACGAAACTAGAAATGATTGAATGAATTGAAATATGAAACTCAACAATCTCTCTCAATTATCAAGATAATCCTTCTTCTTTTGTCTTCACAACATAAACCTGAATTGCGAACATTTGTTTAGGAATTTAGTAGTAATGGTTTTCAGAGATAAATTAAATCAAAGTGAACTGTTCAACGATCCTAGTGTGGTCTGAGTTGCACATTGAGTTGTTATGGCCATCAGTACCTATGATCCAATTCACCTCGACACAAAACTATTGTTACATCATATTTGATAAGATTACAATGGGATTGTGAAAATGTTTGTAGTCTTGAACTGTTCACCTCCAATCGAAAAAAGTGAGAACTAGACTAGTCGACCATTCTCTTTCTTACATGATCTTAATGCATACGTATAGAGAGGATAGGCAATAAGTATTTTGGTGAATATATTGATCTACAATCAGACATAATGTGCAGCTGAATTGACTAGGATAATAAGGGAAGAATGCATATGTAGGCATCTCATTCATCTTTGGGAACAATTCTAGATGCATGGTTATGTGGTGTTTGAGTGAACTAATGATTCCTTTGTACTTTTTGAATGTTTGATTTCGAATTCTAAATAGAGTATATACATTTGTGGTTATCTAGTACTTCTTGATTCTTAGTTCATACTGTAATTGAGCCTGAGATGGATCTTTTGGACATACATTCAGATTTCCATGCTTTTGAGGATTACTTTGAAAGGTTCTAAATCTGGGCTACGTTCATGGGTTCACCGGAAAAGCCCATTTCGCTTTCTATTACAACTCTGAAGGATCTACTGCTAGACTATGTTAAGTATACAAATTTCGAATGTGGTAAAGGAGGAAGATTTCATAAAATGATTCACAAGGATATAAATATTCCACGGCATTACGTCATCCCAACTCAGTGCATACTCAAGGTTATGAACATAATTCATTGAGGAGTTGCGATGCAGTTCACGAAGATGGGCACAAGTTTGGTCAATGTTTGTCCTGTGGCAGGTTCCACTCTTTTAATCCATGTATATTTTGTAATCCTTAGTGCTTTAAATGTGGTGATATTGAACATATTCAGTCCGTTTGTAATACTACTGTTCATCTCGCTGCAACTAATATTAAGTCTTGTACTTCTAATTCTATTAAGTTGAGTATTTATAATGATCATTTGCCTTTATCAAAGATTTCAAAAGACAGTGTAAATTCATATAGCAGTTCAGAGTAAAATGAAACTTAGAATCCTTGCGAGACAACAGTTTCTAATCAATCGATTTATCAGACTCCTCAAGTTATTGTACAAGATATGGTTTTTCTCAATGATTCACTTATTTCTGACGAAATTTCTTGCAAATCTGAGGAAAATATATTGAATGAACCTAGTCATGATCAAAAACGTGATGTAGTTTTGATAGATGCTGATTTTTCTAGTGATCCTTTACTCTGCAACTACATTCTTAATAAATTTGAGGAAACTATTTCAGAAGAATCAAATCATCATGTTCTATCAAATATTATTTGTCCTCATAATGCCTTTGTTTCTTGTGGGAAACTTGTTCAATGCGAAGCACAAGTACTAAATGAGCTCGAGTTTGATTACAGTTCAAATGATTTCATATCAACTGCTGTTTATCCTCATCACGAAGTCGATTCTAATGTTTACTCTGATCAATCTGAGAAATATGTTTTAAATGAAGCCACACCATTCATAACTTGGAGTTATAAAGATTCAACATTATTTCATGGGGGAGGATAGTGTTGGGAAATCTATGCTTTAAATTCTAGATAGTGGTTGCGGTACACAACCAACACGTTGATTGTATACAATCCCAGGAACCAAGTGAGTCTGTTCCGATTTCGGTTGTAAATTCCAATACTAATGAGCACATCCTAGATAATACAGAGTTTTTATCCAATACAATGTCAGACAGACACAGGATGAACTTAAGAAGACGTACCATCGACTATAGACACTTTGACTATAATTTAAGATGTGGCGGATGTGGTGTATGAATAAACTAATGATTCCTTTGTACTTGTTCAATGTTTGATTCCGAATTCTAAATACAGTACATTCATTTTTGTTTATCTAGTACTTCTTGGTCCGATTACGTTATCTCTGGGATTCTGAGTTCATACCCCTAATCATCATAAGTTGCCTGATATGTCTGATAACAATTGATAAAATGATACACAGTTTAATGGATCATAAGATGCATACATTTTGAATGTGATCTATTCACGTAATCGAGAAACTATACCAACTTAATCCATCTTCAGTGGTTAAATAAACATACTGCAGTTCATAACCTGAAAGTTCTTCTATTAGATATATATGAATATACTTCAAATGTCTGTGATAGCTTCATATAGTGAAACGATAAGTAGTTCAGGTTATCTGAAATATTTGGGCATTGATTCCAATAAGGTGGTTAGTGCTAGATAATTGCATAGAAGTTCCACAATCACAGAATATGTGCATTGTATACATCACCTCTAAAGGTGCGTCAATGATGATCCAACCTATCAATTCATAATTGTCATTGAAATATTCTCCATGTTATGATTTAACGACTCACACTCATGATCCTCTTCTACAGTAGCTGTCCACTAAATACGATTCGAAAATTACCTAATATTACATATCAACTATCTGTTTCGATAATTGTTTCCTACTAAATATATTCACTAGCAACGAGAAACGACAACTATATTACCCATCCTGAAACACACCTATATGACGAGATATAAAGAGAAAACACTCTCGGTCTTCTGCACGAATAACTGTTTATTTCAATTGTTTACTAATAATGAAGATGTTTCATTTTCGATTTCGAAACACCACCACAGATAAAATTACCACACACAAGAGCACACACTGACAATAATATGATAGTGGATCAACCAGTACAAAAGACAATGTAGAAACACAATCTCAGTTATACTAATATTTATTCTGTTCTGTTTTGTGGTCTTCATTCAAACTGTATATTATTCTGTGTTGGTTCTTATGAAGATGAATTCGGGAATTTATGAATACTAGAGAAAATCGTGTTTGTGAAGATGATTGAGTTGAGTTGCGTGCAGAATGATCAGATGTTTTTTACAATGTTTGATTTAGTTTCTGTTGATATTTCTTTTGAATTTTCGGTTTCCTCCAAATTAACCGGATTTGAATAGAAGAAACGCATTATCTCCAAGATAAAAATAAATGAAATGTTTGGTTTCATGCGTCACATAACTGCAATGAATAAAGGGAATTGGAGAACCAGTTAGCAACATATAAGCAAATTTCAGAACAAGAAAATCTTACGAACTTCATTTGAATCCACCAATTCAGCACATGAAATTCCTCAGTATTCATAGAATTGCAAAATCAGACTATAGATCCGTCAAAATATATAGTTTGAATTACTTGAGGATTGGATTGAGAAGTATAAGAAATCAAGATGTCACTGTTGATTAGTGCTTAGTGGTTTTCATGGTTTATTATTTTGATCTAACTGTCTGTCATTCAACTAAGTCTTATTTGTAACTGTTACTCTGAGCACCGCTTCACAATTCATAAATGAATTACTAAATCCAACACTGATGATGCTTTTGGTTCCTACATCCAGTCAAACTGACATCTGTGTTTTCATCGAACGTTTTGCAGCTACACTAACTTAACGTAAACTGTCCTTGAACTAGATATTCTATATTTAAACAGAGTCAATTACTGATTTAATGCAGATATAAAAGACATTAACATTGAACATGGAAGTATCTTCTGATTGATCAGACAGACATAATAATCATTCAAAATCAGACTGTTCATTTATAGAGAGAATTTAAATGTTATATTAAGTTTCACGCCATTGAAAGGGATCTCTTCTTAGGTGTAGATCAAATTGTTCTCTTCGTAGGTGTAGTTCAAATTGTTCTCTACCATCTACACTTTTATAATGCTTCTTATTTCTCAGTGATTTTGAGAATCATTTGATGAATTGAATGAAATTAACATAATCCTGTTAAAAGCTCGTAGTTGGTGATCCTTTCTCGTCCTCGAATGCATACGACGGAACTGCGAACCGTTTATTTTGGTGACCGAAGTACATAAGTGTATATATGAAGAAAAAATGCATTATATAAATGTGACAAAAAATAGTTAAATGAATACTGTCCAATGACATGTATACTATTGACTTCCAATAAAGTTACATAATTCCTTATACACTGTTACAAACTCCACATTATAACGTCAAATTATTTCTGTCTTGGCATAAACAGTGAGTGAATAACATTGATTACATATTAATAATGAATAAATATTTATGTCGAGTTACAAAATATTACTAACCTTCCGAAATTTCTCCCAACAATACAATGCCATGTAGGATTGTATTTCCTGTCAAATTCTTTCTTAATGAATGCTGCTATATCTTTTTCCACACTATATTTCTCTAAAGCTTGTGCAGCACAATCAACAGCCTCTTGTTGCATATCATCTGACATATCGGCATTTTTCACTACTGCTTTATGTTCAGACATCATTATTCTCTAAAGATTTCTAATATGTATGCGAATGAATTGAGTAGCCGTTTACTACCTTGTATTAATTTCTAATTCCAAAACAGACACTATTTATATCAACAAGAGTGTCATACTTTTGACCTTATTATAAATGCAATGAAGTAAGAAAATGAGAGTTTAGTAGCTTGGCTTCAGATATAAAATATGTGTGTAGGTATATATATAAGTAGTGGCACAGATTCTAATTGGCTCATGCATAATCTTGACGTGCATGACTTATCACTCTGTTTTAAATCACCGTCATTACAACTACAACAATATCAATGATGAGAATAATGGCAATGAAAGAAAGTTACAAATCTGTATCCAATACCCCTTCCTTATTAAAATAGTAGCGTATACTTTCCTGACTATTTTAACAATAGTGTTTGAAGTGACTCAACATAATAGGAAGTAATTGTTCACGCTTAATGGTGAATTTCGTTCAAATTAAATAGATCTAGACAAACTATTTTATTAAGTAGTGATCATAGCTAACTGAGAGAAGTTCTTGCGAGAGAGTGTGACTAGTGGAGTTTAATCAAAATGGGAGTATTGTAATCGACATTTGTGGAATTTAACATTCCATCAAATCCTTCTTTTTTATGTTTCACTAATCCTATTGCTCAACGACACTTTCGCATTCTCAATAGTTATTTAATTTAGAACTATAAACATCTTCCTCATCTATCTATCTATCTATCTATCTATCTATCTATCTATCTATCTATCTATCTATCTATCTATCTATCTATCTATCTATCTATCTATCTATCTATCTATCTATCTATCTATCTATCTATCTATCTATCTATCTATCTATCTATCTATCTATCTATCTATCTATCTATCTATCTATCTATCTATCTATCTATCTATCTATCTATCTATCTATCTATCTATCTATCTATCTATCTATCTATCTATCTATCTATCTATCTATCTATCTATCTATCTATCTATCTATCTATCTATCTATCTATCTATCTATCTATCTATCTATCTATCTATCTATCTATCTATCTATCTATCTATCTATCTATCTATCTATCTATCTATCTATCTATCTATCTATCTATCTATCTATCTATCTATCTATCTATCTATCTATCTATCTATCTATCTATCTATCTATCTATCTATCTATCTATCTATCTATCTATCTATCTATCTATCTATCTATCTATCTATCTATCTATCTATCTATCTATCTATCTATCTATCTATCTATCTATCTATCTATCTATCTATCTATCTATCTATCTATCTATCTATCTATCTATCTATCTATCTATCTATCTATCTATCTATCTATCTATCTATCTATCTATCTATCTATCTATCTATCTATCTATCTATCTATCTATCTATCTATCTATCTATCTATCTATCTATCTATCTATCTATCTATCTATCTATCTATCTATCTATCTATCTATCTATCTATCTATCTATCTATCTATCTATCTATCTATCTATCTATCTATCTATCTATCTATCTATCTATCTATCTATCTATCTATCTATCTATCTATCTATCTATCTATCTATCTATCTATCTATCTATCTATCTATCTATCTATCTATCTATCTATCTATCTATCTATCTATCTATCTATCTATCTATCTATCTATCTATCTATCTATCTATCTATCTATCTATCTATCTATCTATCTATCTATCTATCTATCTATCTATCTATCTATCTATCTATCTATCTATCTATCTATCTATCTATCTATCTATCTATCTATCTATCTATCTATCTATCTATCTATCTATCTATCTATTTATTTATTTATTTATTTATTTATTTATTTATTTATTTATTTATTTATTTATTTATTTATCCTTCGGTTGTGAAATTAATAACGATAATTACTGTTTTATTTAAAAATTCTTACGAATATAGTATGTGGTAAGAACGGCACTGTCAGAATGATTTAATTAGAAATGCATGTGAAGTGATAACAAATGGTACAGAGTGGAGATCCATCGAACTGTTCACTGACTGTTAAAACATGTCATTATATCAAAACTAAAGCTTTTGCAAAACCGTTTAACACATCAATTGTATTATAAAATAACTTTGCACTAAGGTGCATCGGTTTTGAGGAATAATAGTTGTGTTTTGTATGCAGTCGTGTGTATCTATCTATCCATGCATCCATCCAGTGAGAATACTAAGTTTCGATGTTATTTGTGGTTGCGTAACGTATGTTATAAGAATAGAAGTGATCTATGTTTGATTTTCACGTTACAGTGTGAATTTTTGTGAATTTTGTAATCCAAGTAAATGCTTTTCTATAAAAGTAGAACTAAACTTCGATGGTAGTAATGTATTAAGGAAAGATTGCATATAAGGATGTAGTACAGAAAGAAAGAATTAGTCGGTAGAAAGATATGAAGCAATTTTAATCTCAGATTTTAAGGGAAGACAGAAAGTTTATACACCTATGCCATTGTGATCGATTCTCAGCCATGTCACGCGGACCCCAACTAATTAGTCCACTTCTATTAACATGGCTCACACCACAAGTTAGTAACTTTATGGATTGATGTCACGTTCTGGTTATGTCGCCCCCAACTTCCTTCCATCCGTTTACAACACTAGTCAGCGTTGTGCATCGTAGTGGTCGGTGTTCAGGCGTATGTAACCATCTCAGTCAATGAAGATTCACAACCTCACCAACTGCTTTACCATCATTCCCTAATACCCAGCGTCTAACCTCAATATTACTCACCCAGTGATCCCAATAGATGCAAGCAATATTTCTAAGGCATCTGTGGTCAAATACTAGTAACTTACGAGTATCTTCTACCCTCAACGGCCACGTTTCTCAGCCGTAAAGTAGAACAGAACGAACTGCCGCGAAATATACTCGTCCCTTAATTGATAGACGGATATCTCGCCTTCGCCATAGGTGACGTAAGTTGGTAAAAGCCAAACGAGCTTTCTGAATCCGTGCTGAAATTTCGTCAAACACCAACGTATGCCATAAGAATGGAAGTGATCTATGTTTGATTTCCGCGTTACAGTTTGAATTTTAGTGAATTTTGTAATCCAAGTAAATGCTTTTCTATAAAAGTAGAACTAAACTACTTGATTTATCATTCAGTAGATGAAATTACAAGGTTGATTTACCAACGCCACAAAATAATATTTTAATCGATGAAATTGATTGTTCTGAGCCATCATTTGCACAAACATTTAATTAGATTTGACAATCATAGTTAAACGGTATCCTCGTATCTCTTATTCTAAATATAAAGTGAGCAGGGATAATAGTTAGAGGTGATTCGTGATTGTGGTTGTATATAATTTATGTTGACGTATTGATTTAATGTGTAAATCGTGATATTCTGTTTATGTTGGTGAGTACCACACTTTAAGTAAATCCATGCAATGTACAACGCTATGATATCACAGTGTTAACTCCACATGTTCCACCTAGTTAGTATATGCCAGTATGACGTATCTGGAATCATGATGGCATGAACAATTCACATGAGATTTAAATTCGAGTATCCCAGTTTCAGATACATAAACACTGATCTACTCAGAACAACATGATTGGTGATATTTACATCACTATGCACTGATTGAATGATATTTCAAATTATTACATGATGGGTAGAGAAATTACTGGAAAGTGAATGATTAATTTGAATGAGTGAATATGTTGACCATATGATTTTCTTTAAAACTCACGAAATCTACAACACTATATTTGTCTAGATTTTCGACTAATTAATCTAATACCTAACTCAATTTCTGCAATATTTATTACACAATAGACTACAATTCTTGCAGGTCACTTATATCTCGCTGAGAATTCTACAAATCAAGATAGGTAAATTCGAACGATTATCCATAAAATGTATTCGTATATTTCAGAATAACTGTAATCACTACATACTAAGCTTAATTCCCTTGATAGCAACTGCAAACAACTGGAAAGGTTTCCTCAGGACGTGTTTCAATGGAGAATCCCAGTGAGCAGTTTATCCTGCTCTACAAGGGCTGAGTGGACTAAGTAAGTAGGTAAGTAAGGAAGTAAACATGTACGTAAGTATTTACTCGAGGGTTTATTGGTTTCATACAATCCTGTGCATCAAACGTCATTCTAATGCATTCATTGTTATAAAGTTCACTGCAAACAATGATTGTGTCTGCAGAAGTTCTATTTTTACTATACTTGGCAAATGCCAAATATTATTCAGTATAGTCGTTTGTGTAAAAATAAATGCCACCACAATGATAGTAGGGTCTCGGAGTACTGAGAAATGGAATAAGGGCTTCTAACTGACCGTCGGTCAATGACTTCATCCGAAAGTGTTCTCATTCGTGGTTAACGATGCCTACATGCGTAAGAAAGTCAGTATCTTTATTCAAAATAAGCTTCAAACATCGATTACGTGTTTTGAACAATGGGGAGTTATCTCAAAACTGTTGGCTTAATGATCGGATAGTGTCAGAAAATGAGCTGTCTCATGGGTTCAGAGTCAAAATCAACTTGCAGTACCTATCTAGCTCACTTGACCACAATTTCCGAAGTAGCAACCGGACCTTCCAAACATCATTTTAACTGGCAAAATCAATCTTATCTAGGCCCTCGTAACACCGGAACCACATTTTAAAAGTGACATTAGCATCGAGATCGTAATAAGACTTAGCAATACTGATTTCGAACCCATCAATCGACGGTGCGGTAGCAGGATTAGATGTGCTGGATTGTGAGGTAGGCGTAATCATTCGTACCTGATAACATTTAGATAGGTTTAGCCACTGCTCTAATAATAAGTCCACTTCACAGGATCCTTGCTTGCTTGCAGCCTCGTCGTCACTGCTAAGTTTGAATAGATTACGATATCACATAAAACCAGTGAACGCAACGACATTTAGAAACACAATAATAGAACAAGTTAAACAATTCCACTGAGCCCCAGTACGGTATATTTGAGGGAGAGGATCAGATTT